ACCGTGGGGAAGATGTGTGGGAGCCTTGCTGGGATGGTTGACGGGGTTTGGCAGGAGTAGGCGCCTTAGGTACGAGTGGTGTGGCAGATTGGTAGTGCGGAGACTGAAGGTGACCAGGAAGTCCTGGATAGTGCATATTCGATGCAATAGGTACCGGTCCTTGTTGCGATGAACGTTTGCGCTCTTGAGTTTCTTGCCCAGCCTTCTTTGCTTGCTCTTCACGAACCTTGCGCTCGTGCTCCTCTTTCGCCTTCTTCTCTCGCAATTCCCGTTCCTCCCGCTCCTTTCTCCGGGCCTCTTCACGCCGTCTCTTCTCCTGCTCCTTCTGTTCCCGCTGCTTTCGTTCCACATCCGCTTGTCGTTCTCTTTCTTCGCGCAGCCGCCGTTGTTTCTCGGCTTCTTTTCGCGCGCGCTCCTCCTCCTGGGCCTTCCGCTCGGCTTCTCGCTTCTTCCGTTGCTCTTCTCGCTTCTTCCTCTGTTCCTCTAGCTTCTTTTCATGCTCAGCTTTGGCTGCGGCTTCCTCTGCAGCCTTCTCTGCTTCCCTTCGTGCCTTTTCCTCGTCTTTGGCTTGTTTCTGAAGACGCTTCTTCTCTTTCCTCTTCTCCGCTTCTCGAGCTTTCTTGGCATTTCGCTGTTCGTTGCGGGTCTGCTCCTCCATGAGCTCTTCAATCAGCTTCTGCTGACGTTGCTCAGCAACCTTCTCTCGGTAAGCAGTCAATACGCGCTGTTCGAACATTCGAGCTGCAAAAATCTGGAACATTCGCCGGCCTTCCTCCATCCGTTGCTCCTCCGTCATAGCATCCTGAGAACAATGTGTCAGCTTGCACTGCAACATGTTGTCGGGGAAATAGTTGACTCCAGGACAGACCATCTCGTCCTCCTCATAGTCTTCTTCCTCTTGACTATCGTAGTCGTCGTCCTCTTCGTCATCATAATCCTCGTCGTCATACGGACCATGATTATGACCGCTATGGAGGGACTGGTGTGCTGCGGCTATTCCGTACTGCGTATCTTCCTCTCGTTGCATTCGGCGTTCGGCCAGTTGTTCCATCATATCGATAAAATGCTTCCCGTCATTTTTTAAGAGATCGTCTGCAACTGTGAGAATCCCGTCTGAGCCAACAAAAAATAGAATGAAATCAGCCCGCATGCTCCAGAAGACAAAAAAAAAGAAAAGTATCGGCGTCTGGTTTGTCTTACCTTTGACAGTTAAACTGTTCCCAAAGGCAAAGAAATCTGCGCGAGCTGCACGCGTTTCTTCGTCTTCGAAATCATCATCACTGTATGGTTCATCGTCCTCATCATCCTCGTCGTAATCTTCCTCCAAATCTTCATCATCATCATCATCCTCCGGTAACTCATGAATGCGACCTCGTGAGGGGTGGTATTGACCATGTGTCCGAGTATGTTGGCCAGGCGATCGCAGCGGTGGTTGATAGAGTCGGGGAGGGGGGACAATCGGTGCGCCCTTCTCAAACGACCCTTGATTGTTGTTGGCGTATTGTTCCAGCTCCTCATAGTAGGCATCGTACAGCACCTCAAGCTCTTCTTCAATCGCCGTTCTCTTCCTTCCACATACGGTGCAGCTGCACGAGTGTTTTTGTTGCTCCTTCATCTTCTTTAATACCGCATCCTTTTCCACTTTGACTAGCTGCCTTCGTTCCTCCTCGCCTAACTCGAGCCAGAATGTTTTGATATTCTCGCGTTCTTCTTGCGTGGAGGTGTTCCATATGCTGCGATCTTTGGACGGTTTGATAATCGTGCGCGGGCCCAGATGCGGGGGGAGAGGCGGCGGAAGTGGATGTGTCATGCAGACGGAGGGGGTTGATAGTGAAGTGGGACTTTCATCACCAAGTGTTTGCGAGTTGGCACGGTTTTTCTTTCCCTTTTTCTTTTTCGATTTTCGACTCGTCGATTTCTGATCATCGGGCTCGTTCGTGTCCAGCTGGAAATCTTGATGCGCGCCAAAAGTGTCTAGTTCATCGTCGTGATACGCATCTCCATTCACAGGGTGGTCGATCTCCGGTTCATCGGATATGTGACTTCCTGGCCCAGCAGGGCCGAGACCGTTTCGGTCTGCGGCATCCGGGAGTACGACTCCGTTTTCTGACTGGCGCTCCGCGGCCAACCGAGCGGCCTGCTTCTGGCGGCGTTTCTGTTTCTTGCGGTTCACGGTCATAGGCTTCGTATCTATCGACGATAGGGGAAGGTTTTCATTCGGAGTGTAAGTGTTGCCATTGGTGGGGCGTGGAGGTGCACTCAACATATGATCTGACATTGTGGAGCTAGGAGGAGATCGGGGAGGACGTGGAGGGGCCATGGGATCATATGTTGCTTTTTGTAGGTCCAGACAGAGGGCGGAAGGTCTTCTAGCTTTCTTCCAGCCCAGCCACCATGCCAAAACGTTGCGCGAACTGGTCAGAGGAAGGACGGCTTATATAATCGTCAGTGACCACTCAGCAGCTCGCCAGCAATCTCTCTCTAACGAGTTCGAGCGGCTTATTTCCGGTGGGGGGAATAAAAGGGGGACAATCGAGCTCCCACTCTGAGTGTTCTGGTGGAAGTAAACGAGTGGCGGGTGGAGAGCAAAGGTTCGTCAAGGTCAGACACCAGGCCGACAAACGGGGAATGAGGGCGGAGAGGGGTGGAAAGGACCCGAGCCGCACGACGAGGGGGCCCAGGCGTCAAGGGCGAGCGGAGAGGGAGAGGGGCCAATGTGGCCGGAGAAACGTAGGGTATGGAGAAGGGAAACGGACAAGAACTACGCTGGTCGTCGGCGAACAAGCGCAGCCAAAGCGGGATAGTGAAATTGGTTAAAGATGATGAGCGTAGATTCGGATGGTGGATCTTGACGCCGGACTTTGGGCTCTGGATGGTTGCCGTGCCGCTGGCCGCAAGAGGATAGCCGCCGCAAGCGAGATTGTTGGCCTGAGGAGTTGGGCATCACCGGGGAGGCCATTACCAGGATTCCAGTGTGGTCATTCTGCCGGGCGGTAGACAACAGCTGTCCATCATGTGACGTCCATGCTCATCAGCGTCATCAAAACACCCTGATTCAACCTGTCTTTTCGGAGTACTTTCTTTTCTTTTCTTTTCTATTGGTTTGCAATCATTAGCTAATCTTATATAATACCGGGATTCAACGTCTTTTACAACTAGAGAACATTGACCGAGATGAGTGACAGGGCTAGAACCCATGTCTGGATAGTACCTTTTTTATTTGATTTGATTTTAATTGTCTTTTAAAATTAAATTTGTTTGAACGTTACAACTTGGTGGGGAAGTTAGTTCCTGATCCAAATTATTAAGTTCAGCGATATGCCGTCGACCATTGTAGAAAAACCCACGGCTGATCCTGAAGATAACTGAAGTATACACAGTATACGATGGAAGACCAAGCGGAAGAAGAACGACGACAACGACGATGATGATATGGAATTGGTTTCGGCAACTCCGGGGGAAATGAAAGACAGGATCCCCCTTCGGTCTATTATTAAACCTTGGATCCGAAGTCCCCCTCCTGCCGGCTGTTGCATTGCATTCCTCCACTGAAAGGGAATAGTGACAGCGACTATACGGTAATTATGAACGTCTAGCCGGTCGATGTCTGAGACAAACCTCTAACCTTAGTAACAAGTGGATTGACCTTGGCTCTGCCTTTCAGCTGCGGCACCCACCGGCCGATCTCATCCTTTGCGTTGATTATGGACAATGGACGATAGCTATTAATATCAGTGACTGGTTCTTAACTTCTCCTTCTTCCACGGTCCCGGTCTATTTAAACCTTGACTCGGTCGAATCCGAGTGGAAGGGTAATACAGTAGTTGAAAGTGAGTGAGCGAGCGAGTGAGTGAGTTGAGTGTCTATGTACTGTCATGATACGATCTCCATCTCTCCCCTACTTTCTTTCAATTGATTTTCTATCATTACCAATTATATTGTTCGTGTTTCTTCGGTCCTGAATCGGTACCGTTATCCGTACGGAAAAGGGAACCAGAAGCCAATCAGAAGCCCCCGGTGGCTCCCTGTCAAGCCCCGTGTAAGTGTAATGAAAGCGGATCTTCCCATTCATTCATTACCCATACTTCCGTACAATTGGATTGAATTTCTTGACAGAACCCAGACCAACATCCTTTCTTTCCTTTCTTTTCCCCTCCTCCCTCCAACGTGTGGCCGATCAATCTAATTGAACCTTTTTAGTCTCCTCAGCCTCACCTCGACCGCCTTCCAGAACCACCGGCTAACCACTCGTCTTTTTTTCCCTCCCCAAAAAGCCCATCATCGTCAATCATCATTCCACCGAGTTACTTAGTTACCTTGTTCGGAGGAGGGGATTCCGCAACAATTTATTGTCCCCCTCTTTTTGCTTAGGCTGCTGTCAAAAAGAACACCACCCCGTCACGCCCTTCCCTCCCCAGTGATTTCCTACCGCTGGTCGGGTACCTGAAAGTCCAAAGCTCCGACCAGGGCATATCAGCGCCCACCCTCCACTCAGGTCGCGCGTTCCTTGTCCCCCTTCGTTCAGCGCCCCCGTGTTGTCTTGACGAAGGGATACCGAAGTGTCAGCCCACGTAGAAAATGGCCCAACAACAAAATGACAATGTTATGCGAAGGTATGTGCGACAATGTCTGCATCGGCGAAGTGGACCGAAAACGTCCGACGATTCATATGCTACTTCTTTTTCTTTTTTTTTTTTTCAACCGGAGTTCTACTCCTCTCATGCGCTCTCACGATGGTCACTTCTACTGCGTCCCCTCTCGTGGCTCGGAAATTGAAACTGGAGCTCGTGTTCAATCCTGCTTCCCATTCAAGATGATGCTGACTTGAGAATCACTTGTAGGAAGTTGGTGATTATCGGAGATGGTGCCTGTGGGAAAACTAGTTTGCTGAGTGTTTTCACTCTTGGTTATTTTCCGACTGTAAGTGCTGCCTAGTTTATGTCGAGTCCGAGAAGAGTGCATAAGACACAAGCTAACGGTTGGGTTTTGTTGACAGCATTATGTCCGTAGCCCTGTGCCCTCTCAATTATGGTTTCTGCCTAGTGCATGGTCTGACTGTCGCGCGTGTTGATCCAGGTCCCCACGGTTTTCGAGAATTATGTGACGGATTGCAGAGTTGATGGCCGGTCGGTACAATTAGCATTATGGGATACGGCTGGCCAAGAAGACTATGAACGGTTGCGTCCGCTAGCATATTCCAAAGCGCATGTGATTCTGATCGGGTTCTCGGTGGATACTCCGGATTCCTTGGAGAACGTCAAGCACAAGGTTGGTGCCTCACTTTCCCCGCCACTTACTGGGTCAGACTCACCTAATTCAACCGTAGTGGATCGAGGAGGCCAATGAGCGGTGCCCAGGTGTGCCGATAATCCTAGTTGGCTTGAAGAAAGATCTCCGGGAAGACCCTCTCGCTGTTGAGGAGATGAGAAAGAAGTCTCTAAAATTCGTCACGCCGAAGGAAGGAAGTGATATTTCGACTCAAATCGGGGCCAGAAAGTACTTGGAATGCTCCTCCTTGACCGGAGAGGGGGTTGACGACGTCTTTGAAGCTGCTACCCGTGCTGCTCTTCTCACATTCGAGAAGCGTAAAAGCTCATGCTGCATCGTGCTATGATGCAACATCCATGGCTTGTGCTATATATGTCGACTAATGGGGTTCGGCTCAATGGTCGGCTAGCAGCGGCGGAAATAATCACGCCGTCCTGGCATGATCAATATGTCTAACGGACTCAATCTGGCCCACGCGTTTCGTCGAGTTTCTTAGATTGGATTACCAAAAGGGAGGGTAAAATCATCGATGAATGTTGATCGACATCTTTTGCATTACCGGCGTTTGGGTGGCCTTTTTCACTTTTTCCCGATTTGACACAACACCTTCTGTTTTGCGTTCGTCGCACATAACTCACCTGTCGTATGGATCCTTCTTTCTTCTTTTTTCTAAAGACACGACGCATGTTGACTTATTTCCGGAGTACATACTTTGGTGACTTTCCTTTATACTCGAGTGCACTCCGAAGTCTCTCCTTTGGTATGATACCTAGCCTTTTGGCGCATGTTTTCCGCTTCGTTATGAATGCTGTCTCTCCCTTTTTTACTTTTTTTTTTCCTTTCCATTCTTCACTATGTCTTCACACTGTCTGCCTAGCACATCTTCTATCTTTAGCGATTGATATTTTCCTGCTTTCCTGCCAGCCATCTTGATACTACCAATAGCTGTCAACCTGCAATATATGTTTCTAACCACTCTCACCTCTCAAATTACTTCCCTACCCGGCCCATAGACCAGATACGCATCGATAGAGTATATCCTATACACCACACGTGGAATCTCAAAGAAATAACAAATATTGAACAATGTTATGGTACAGTACATGCCAACACGAATATCTTCATACCCCGCAATAGATATAATAAGCAAGAGACATCAAAGCCCAGCATAGATCTCCCTCCTTCTAGAACAAGTGCACACTAAGCCCCCCCCCCCCTTACGTTCATTTCTTCTCCATCCGCTTCCATTCATGGTTCCAGCCCTCCTGACTCGGCGCTTCCGTCTGCAACCGACCATACTCAATCGGGAACAGATCTCTAAACACACCGCGCTTGTTCATCGACTTCCGGAACAGCTTGCCTCCATCTCCAGCTCCGGTCCGGAGCTCCTCACACGCGGCGTTCATCGCCTGCCACTGGCGCTGCAGCTCCAGCTGCTCGGAGCGGCGCTGCTGCGCCTGGAACAATTGCCAGGCACGGTGGATGGTCCAATGGCGGAGATAGCGAGTCCGGGAGAAACGGAGGGGACGAGGCGTCTTGGGGTGGTGAAGGAAATAACGGATCAGAGCTACAATGGCCTCGTTAGACTTTACTTATTTCTTTGCTTGTCCTTTGCGGTAATGATCCCAATGTCATCACGCGACAAATAACTTCAATTATCCCAATTGGGGGATAACCATGATGGGATATACATACTAACGCGACGATCTCCGCGAGGACCACCGCCCTTCCGCTTGAGCAAGGCGTTGGTGGTCGAGAATGATCTGGCGGCCGTGGCCTGGACGGCGGAGGTGACGGGGCCGCTGGTCGATTTCTTCAGCAGGGCTTCATTGCACATGCGGGTCACGGACGGCCGTGTCGATGTCTGGGAGATGGGGATTCTGAATACGTTCGCCAGGGAGGCGAGGACGGGCGAGAGGGACCGCATGGCGTGAGAGTTGGGGAGAGGGACGGAGGTAGTGACGGAGGAGGAGCAGTCGACGGTCTGGTCTGGAGAGCCTTTTCGGGGAAATGCTGTCGGAGCGGAAAGTTTGGCTTAGCCGCGCGCTTATTTTTGACTTCGGTTTTTTTTTGTTTT